CCATTCAAGATGAGATTTGGGTGGGGACATAGAACCAAACCATATCAGTACCAAAAATGAAAATGCCACCAAAGGAAATTTGAATAAATGGGAAGGCATATTCTATTTTTGGGTAGAAAGACTCACTGTTACAAAGATGTCAGCTCTCCATAAATTAATCCATAAGTTTAACACAAATCTAATAAAAATACCAACAGAGTACACAACCTGAACATAAATTCATATTGACATTTTTGCATCAGGGATAACCATATTGCTTCAGTAGCATCCTCAGGATGAAAAACAAGCAAAACACAACAAAAAGAATAGCCATGAGAACATTTTGAAAGGTAAGGTTAATGAGAGGAGAATCGCTGTACCACATATTAATACAATAGTTAATATAGTGAAATCCAGAGGACACTAGCACACACATAAGCTTTTTGATCAAGACAGCATAATTTAGGCTGGGTGTGGTGGCTCATGCCTGTAACCCCAACACTTTGGGAGGCTGAGGCAGGTGGATCACTCAAGGTCAGGAGTTCCAGACCAGCTTAGCCAACATGGCGAAACCCCGTCTCTACTGAAAATACAAAGAATTAACCAGGCATGTTGGCAGGCACCTGTAATCCCAGCTACTCGGGAGGCTGAGGGCGAAGAATTGCTTGAATCTGGAAGACAGAGGTTGCAGTGAGCTGAGATTGTGCAACTGCACTCCAGCCTGGATGACAGAGTGAGACTCCATTTATAAATAAATCAATAAATGTAAAAGAATAAAACCACAAATTAAATGTAAAATGTCACAGTCGAGAAAGTGTTTTCCAGAATGGCACACATTTTCTCATAGCTTAAAAAAAGACAAATTCTGTCAACATAAAAATCTATAATTTCTACAGAGCAAAAAACACCATAAAGACAAATGGTAAAGTAGGGAAAATATTTGCAACTCATAGCATAGTCAGAGGGACTAATTTGCTTATTATGTACAAAATCTCTACAAATCAATATGGAAAATAACAAAAATTCAGTAAGAAAATGGAATGGTTAATGGAAAAGTAAATGTCTCTTAAACATGAAAAAATACTGAACCTCATAGGACAATTGAAACTGCATTTAGGGCCAGGGGTGGTGGCTCATGCCTGTAATCCCAGCACTTTGGGAGGTTGAGGTGGGCAGATTGCCTGAGTGCAGCAGTTTGAGACCAGCCTGGGCAACACAGTGAAACCCTGTCTCTATTTTTTTTTTTTAAAGAAAAATTAAAAAAAAAAAAGAAACTACATTTAGATATAATTTTTCACCCACAGATTGACAAAAAATCTAGATGTTGGACACTTAGCTTTGGCATGGTTATAGGATAATAAGCCCTCTCATGTTACTGTTAGAACTATAATTCATTAAGACTTGTCAGAATTTACAAATGCATAGAATTTCTGATCCAATGTACTTGCACATATACAAAATAAATTTTATATAAAATTAGCCAGGTGTGGTGGTCACCTCTGTAATCCTGGCACTTAGGGAAGCCAAGGTGGTAAGATTGCCTAAGTCCAGGAGTTCAAGACCAGCCCGGGCAAAGTGGTGAGACCCCCGTCTCTACAAAAAATGAAAATAAAAAAATTAGCTGGGTGCAGTAGTCCCAGCCACTTAGGAGGCTGAGGTGGGACGATCTCTTGAGCCCAGGAGTTCAAGGCAGCAGTGAGCTATGATCACACCACTGCACTCCAGCATGGGACAAAGTGAGACCTCATCTCTTCAAAAGAGAAGAGTTATCAACTGGAGCAATGTTTATACTGCAAAAGTTTAGCAAAAGCCAACTCAAACATCTCTCATTAGAGGACTAATTAAATAAATCATTGCACATGCATACAATGGAATATACATCCAGGCTGAAGAGCTGTCACAAAAATCTTTATAGGCCATCACTGAACTTTATCCTAAGAAAAATGAAGACCCATTAATGAATTCTGAAACCAGAGTGTGGAATCAGACCTGCACTTTAGATGTCTCTGGCTTAGTATGAAGCATAGATTGAAAGAGTAAAACAAGCCAGGGAGATCAGTTGGTGGCCCAGTTTAGGGTGGTTACTGAGGGGAAGACACTTAAGATGTAGATCATGACAGGGCTTGGTGAGAGATTGCATAAATGGGTACAGGAGCTCAGGCACCAATGATGCCCAGTTCAGGCTTTGGCAGTGGATGAGGCTGGTGGATGTGCATTGAGACCAGAGGCACAAGTGCAGCTGCAGGGTTGGGGGTGAGAAGAAAAGGTTATGAGTTTCATTTGAATAGATTGAGTTGGAGGTGCCAGTTGGCAATCAGTTGCGATGTGCAGTTGAGCGCTTGCATATACAGCTCTGTGACTCAGAGAAGAGATTGTAATTGGGAGTGGATTTGGGAATCATCATCGTATAGCTGATGTTTGAGGCCATAGGGAAATCTGAAGTCATCTTGGAATGTCCTGTGACATAAGAGGAGAGTCCAGGCGCTGGAGCAACCCTTAGGGAACACAGGCAGAAGAGAATGAAAATCTGCAGGAGCTGAGGAGTGTGGGAAATGTGAGTGGGAGACCAAGAAGAGCATCACTTCATGGACCTTAAGGAATAGGGTGCTTGAGTTTTACTGGTGTCTGTCTCTCCCTTGATTTAAAATCTTCCACATAAACTGGGTTTTATTTTTCTTTGTTTTCTGCCCATCTGTCTTATCCCACCTTCAAACGGCACAAGGTTTTGTACATAATAACTATGTCTGTGGACAAGCAGCTCATGAGTGAGTTGCCCAGTTGGAACTGATTCTTTACACGACTGTTGTGCACACCTCCATGACTGTTCCTCTCTTTGCTGTCCCTGTCTCCATTCTCTAAATTCTCCATGCTGCCATCAGTGGCTCTCCACTACCTACAGCGGAGCATCCTCTGGTTGGCCTTCAAGCCCATCCAGATTCAGTCCCAGCTTGGCTTATCTCCTGCAACACGTGGCGTGGAACTACAGCCCTGCCAGCCACTTGCTGCCACATGAACGTGCTCCGTGCTTACAGTGTGCTCCTTTTCCTTTAGATTTCCCAGTTCCTTGAACATCTTCTTCATTCTCCATTGCACTTTGTCTTGTGTTCCCACACTGACTCCCTACTAGTTACTACTCTTTCTCCACACTGGAGTGTGAGGTGGGACCCTCCCAATGTCACCATTCCCCCATGGCTCACCTCCCCAGCTTTTCAAGTCTCAAGTGTCTCCCCGTGAGGCTTGCCATGACCCCTGTTTCAGAACCAACTCCTGGCACGGTACAGTTGCTGAAGGAGTGGCGGGTGGATTGTGAGTCCTTGGGAGTTCAGGACCCTCCTTGGTTTTATTTCTGTAGCTGCGCCAGTGCTTTGTAACCAGTCAGCACCCTGTGTTTGCAGTAGGCTCCTGGGAAATGAGTTTTCCTTACCTCCATGCTCCCACTGCCTAGTAGAGAGCATGGCATCACCATAGGTGCTCAATAAATGTTTAAAGAATCAATAAATGAAAAATAAATTTAATTGCTCTCAGGAGCCTCCAGAGGGGCCACTGGCTATGCAAACTCTGGTTTGTGTGTGCTTCCTGCCAGCGCTGACAGGCTGCCTTATGGGCCAGCGACAAGCTGTGTCCTGTAAACCTGGCTGTGCTGAGGGACAGTAACATGTGGCTCACAGAAGGCACTTGGGCTTTCACGGTGGCCAAGCATTTAATACAACGATTGTGGTGCTTCAGGTAGAAACATCCTGGAAGAAGCCTCAGAGGCAGCGAAGGAGAGGTGGGAGCACTTACTCCTTAGGGAAAGCTTGACTTGGTTTCTACTGTGTGCATGGCCCTTTGAGGGGCCAGGAAGAGGGGAAGGTAAACTGTGAGAGCAACTGGGCATCCATCTTAAAGAGTTTCAAGTCTAGTCTGGGCGCCGTGCCTCATGCCTATAATCCCAGCACTTTGGGAGGCCAAGGTGGGTGGATCACAAGGTCAGGAGTTCGAGACCATCCTGGCCAACATGGTGAAACCCTGTCTCTACTAAAAATACAAAAATTAGCTGGGCGCACTGATGGGCACCTATAGTCCCGTCTACTCTGGAGGCTGAGGCAGGAGAATCGCTTGAACCCGGGAGGTGAAGGTTGCAGTGAGCCGAGACCATGCCACTGCACTCCAGCCTGGGACAGAGACCCAAAAAAAAAAAAAAAAAAAAATTGTTTCAAGTCTAGTGGGGTTGAGGGCAGACTTACCAATAATCCCAGAACAAAGGCAAGATGGACCAATCCTGGAAGAGATCCACACACGTAGGTGAGAGAGCCCCCAGGAGAAGGGGAAGCTTAGGGAAGATTAGAGGAGGCTTCATGGTGGAGGGGGCATCTGAGCTCATTGACTAAGCTTTCTCTCTTTTTTTTGAGACAGAGTCTCACTCTTGTCACCTAGACTGGAGTGCAATGATGCGATCTTGGCTCGCTTGAACCTCCACCTCCTGAGTTCAAGTGATTTTCCTGCCTCAGCTTCCTGAGGAGCTGGGATTACAGATGCCTGCCACCACGCCTGGCTAATTTTTGTATTTTTTTGTGGAGACCAAGTTGGCCAGGCTGGTCTTGAACTCTTAACCTCAGGTGATCCACCCACCTCAGCCTCCCAAAGTGCTGGGATTATATGCATGAGCCACCACTTCTGGCCTTCATTGACTAGGCTTTCTGAATGGGGTGGAAATTGAAACAGCTTTCAGCTGGTCTCCCTGCTCCCAGTCTGTGCTCACTGTTGCAGCCGGAAGATGCTCTTGAATTGAAGAGCAGATGATGTCACTTCTTTGCTCAGAATTCTACAGTGGGTCCCATTGCATTCCAGGTGAACAGTGGTTCTTACAGTGGCCCATACGGCCTTGTGTGATCTACCTCCCAGTTGCCTCTGCAGTGTGTCTCCCCCCACCCTCCCACTCACCCACACCAGCTACCCCAGGCACCTTGCTGCCCCCCTTAGTGTGCCAGGCAGGCTCACACCTCAGCATGCTCTCCCTGCCCAGCACGCCCTTCCCCTGGGTTACCTCTTCACCTGCTTCAAGTCTTCACTGAAATATCCTGCCATGCCCTCTCTACTTTAAATGGTAACACCCACTCCCCTGCATTCTGCTGCCTTATGCCTCTTGAAATTTGTGTTTCTCCCTGGCACCTTTTACCCGCTGACATAACTGTGTATTTTACTAATTTATTTTTGTTTCTTGTCTTTTTCCCCCATAGAATGTAAGCTTTGTGAAAACACCTTTTAAAAATCTGTTTTACTCACCACAGTATCCCTAACACCTAGAACATTGCCTCATAATGAGTTAGGTGCCCAATAGGTACTTGTTGAATGGATGAATGAGTACATGAATCAATGGGGCCATGCTATATGCTTGAGGAAGTCCATGGGGAGGGCCTCCTGGCAGAGCTCCTAAAAACAGCTGCCCAAAGGGTCATTTGCAGGGATAGATCTCTGCCAATACAGAGCAGAGGACCTGCTGGGGGTGGGGGGGGCAGTCAAGCAAGAAGGAAGGGGACCCAGGCCGAGGGAGAGCAGACTCCACCACCATGAGTCATCTTCAGGATCCCCGTGTCCATAGCCTGGATCTGGAATGCCTCAAGTCTTCTCCTCCCTCTGCTGCACTTGCTGTCCACGCTGGACCTGCACCTTCTCAGGAACCCACAGCCGCTTCCTTTGTGTCTCTCATCCTGCAGTCCCCTCCCTTCTAATTCCTGCACCTCTCCAGGCCAGCTGAGGCTCTTAGACAAGCACTTTGCTGCCTCCTTGTGGCTTCTGCAGGAAAGGTTCCTCCTCTTCCAGAAAGTGAGGAAGTGCGGCATCTAACAGCTTGGGGGTGATGGGAGAGGAAACCCAAATCTTCTTGACCAGTGGTGGCCAGAATCAGTGGCAGCTGCCTGCTAACACTGCTGCTGCCAGTGGCAGTGAGCATTTTGCAGCAGCGCCCTGACTGGCGCACCAGCTGGACTCAGATTTTGGTCGTTCCAGGCTGCTCAGCTCCTGGGAAAGAATGTCAGGCAGTAGTCAGACCCCAGGGTCACTGAGGTTGGCAACTAGTTTATCCAGCCTCCACCTGCCCAGATTCCTCTCAGCTTAGAGGCAATAAATAGCGTTTGAGGGGTGATGAAGCCACCAGCCAGCACAGGGCCTCCCAGCATGTGCAGAGAGGAGGGGCAGGGTGTGACACAAGAGCCAAGGTAGGGGTATGGAGAACTGGAGATGGGAGGCCGCTCTGCTTGGCCTCCTAATTGGCTAATTGGGTGGGATGTAACATCTCAGCCCATTGCTTTTGCCAAGTAACAGATACCTGCCTAAGCGAATTGCTCCCAAATGGGAGAATATTCTAGAAGGTTCCTAGGTTATCTTGTGGACCCATAAGACAGAAGACTGCCTGAGAAGACTGCTTTATTTCTTACTCTACTTGGTAACTTTTTCTTTCTGGCGACTTTCAAATTGTTCTCTCACCTTTGGTTTCAGGTTTGACTGTGATGTGGTGAGGTATGTTTTTCTTTGTATTTATCCGTTTGCAGTTCTCTGAGCTCCTTGAATCTGTGGCTTCCTGTCTTCAATTTGGGAAATTCTCAGTAATTATCTCTTCAAATAGTTCTTCAAATATTTCTTCTCCTTTCCCCTGAGACTTCAATCACATTTGTGAAACCATTGGTACTGTCCCACACATCTTGGGTGTTTTGGGAGTTGCTGGTTTGTTTCTTTGTTTTTACTCTCTCTGTGTTATAGTTGGCTAATTTCTATTGATCTTGCCTCAAATTCACAAATTTTTTTTGCCTTGCTTTTGTCTAGTTGGGTGATAAACCTGCCAAAGGATTTCTATACTCTGATATTAAGAGTTTCATTTCTGACATCTCCAAGTTTCCATTTTTTTTGTACAATTTCCTACTCTCTACTCAAATTCCCCATCTGTTCCTGCATGTTGCTCACCTGTTAGAGGCAGCTCCTGTAACTATCAGCATCTAGCTGTGCACATCTTCTCTTCTTGAGAAGATGACTCCTCTGATCATAGAGTCATGCTCATTTGTTTTCTGACTTTTCAGGCCATGAAAAGTCATGGCCTGCATGACAGAGTGATGGAGTGGAGACTGGGGCTGTCTTGATCCTTCCGGTTTTCCCCTCCCTGGCTGTACGGCTGGGTTATTTTTGAAGGGCTTTTCTCCCTTCCACTGTACACCTCTTTTCAGTTAGTCAGGGCTGGAGTAGACCCTCTCCCATGTCGCCTTCCATATTTGTTTTGGTTCCTCATCTGAGGCTGTGTGCCATGCAAGCAGGGCTATAGTCAGTCCCTGAATATGGCCTGAAGCAGTGCTCAAATAAATACTCCTTCCTATGCCTTGTCTTCCCTGAATTTTTGGGAGGTAGAGGTTAAATAGATTGACCAGAAATGTCAACTTTGCTCTGAAAAAAAAAAATGAGGCTCCTGTATAGTATCAGTGAGCCTCATCACTAGAAAAACACCAGACATACACACATACATATATACACATATGCACATTATACATATATACACACACATTTATGCATTTGCATATATACATATTTATACATACATACACTTATATACATACATACCCAGACACACACATACACATATATGGGCACATACCTGTAGATACATACATAAACACATATGCATACACACACATACATACATAAAGGCACCCCCACATATATATATATTTGTCTTCCAGCCCTCTTGGCTTCACAGCTTGGCCTGTGCAGGCTTTCTTTGCCTTTAAAAAGACAAAATTGTTACCAAAGCAGGAGAAGAATGTCAGACACTCTGCGTGCTTGCCAGAGAGTTCGCTAGAGGACATGCAGAAGGTCAAAGTCCTCCATCACCAGAACAAGTTCAGCCACCAGCCCCCTTAAGCACAGTGCTAAGAGCCTGTGAAAATATGAAACCTTTGAAAATATTATTGGTGCCAAAATGTAAAAACCAATAACGTATGAATATGTATGAAATCTTTATAAAATATAATGTCAGTTTCATTCACTGTCAAATTTAGTATTCAAAATAGTCTCATTACATTTATAAAACTTGTTCGATTTCTTCTCTGTGCATGCTGATGGCGGAGATGTCACTCACAGCCAAGTATACATTAAGTAACTTCCTTATAGTTCATTTCTAAAGCAAGGTTATAAAAATCCTTTCCAATTATTTAGCATGATGCATTTAATGTGAGGGCATTTTAAGATGTTAAGTATCATTGGGGTGAGGCCTCCAGAAAAGAAAGAGCCTGGGACCCGAGAGGCTGGAAACAGCCCGGGGCTGGCACAGCCTGTGCTGTGTGTGTGACCTGCATCAGGTTACTGTTTCCCTTCCTCCCACACCAGGCATCCTTGCGATATCTTAAGCTGTGGCTCAGAAAATAAATCCTACTCCTGGCATCATCCACAGAACTGGCTGTTCACATCCCACATCTTCCTCAGCTTTCTGGAATCTCAGCCTTAGGCTGGAAGCAAGGATGAGAGCCATTCCTGAGGAGAGACTGGTCAGACATGAGTTCGCTGAGGACAGGGTCATTTCCTATTTGTTATGCCTGGTCCCTAGGCTAGGGGTGCTGGTGAGTGGAGAAGGATGGGGAGGGAGAGACTGAGCAGGGACCAGGCAGGTAGCTGTGTGCCAGGAGGAGGGTGTGCAGGTGCTTATGAGCTGATTGAACTAAGCAAATTAGTGTCTTAACTGACAGACACCTGCCAGAGACAGCCTTCTTAGCCCACATCATCTACATTTGAACCTCATGTCTCCATTTCTTCCACCTTTGTCCTCACTCAGAGACACACTCATCTTTGCCTCCCACCTTGTGACACCTGGCTCTGGTCTATATTTGGTATCTCCTTTTGTTCTCGCCTTCTGAGCTTTCATGAAAATCACTGGCATGTCAGTGACATATCTGTCCATATTTTGATTAAATGGAGTTACACCTACTAAGTTTCAGGTACCAATCACAGCCATCTTGGCATGTTTGCTCCCAAAGGACACAGACAATACTAAGAGGTTTCTAAAATTGAGTTGGAGCAGATGTGGGTTTCAGCAATGAGACAGAATTTTAAGATAACCTCTATTTTGTTAAAAACATAATTTGGGGACTGCAGGAGGAAAGCAGTGTTTCTCAAAGTTCTAGAAATACTCAGCAACACCCAGAAGGTTTCTTTAAAAGCACCAGCTGGGAACCTGCATTTTGACCACGTTCTCTGTGAGTTTCAGTCCCTCTGAAGGTTGAGAATCACTGGCTAAGTGATGGAGTGGAGACTGGGGCTGTCTTGATCCTTTTGGCTTATTTGGGTTCCAGGGAGTGAGTCGCTTGACTTTTTTTGAACAAGTTCAGCAGATTCATCTGTAGGTCCCTGGCATTCCTTCCTTTGGTTAGCTGAGGCACTGAAAGAGTTAATACAGTTACAGGTCTGGGAGCAACTGAGACACAGCCCAGGGCAGGTGAGTGCCCATCCAGGGTCCAGGTCCAGCACCTGAGCATTTCCCAGAGTCAAGAACAGAGCTGGGCCCAGACTCAACCTGGACACAGAACCACTCAATGCAACATTCTGCCAAGTTCCTGGGCTCTGCTTCTCCTGCAGCAAATCTGCCTTTTGTCTGACCTCACAGAAGACTTCCTCTTCCCTCCCCTCATTCTTCTTTGCTCCTTCCCACACATTTGTGTTTCCTTGGCCCCAGCCCCATCTAGTCTCTTTCCCAGAGGCCGCGTTTTAAGTCCCTTTGTCTGTCTCCAGCATGTCAGATGCCTGTGTGAGTCTGTGTTCATGTGCATCTTGGTGCACACGTGTGTGCCAATGTGTTTTTAGCTGTCAGGAACAGACCCTGAGCAAGGGGAGGGCAGCGTGCTAAGAATTGAGGCTAAGATTCTCCTCCAGCTTCAGAAAACGTTTGGTGTCTGCAGACACACAGTTCTCTCACCTGTCAGACAGAGCCCAGGGGACACGCTTATAAGACAAAGCTGAAATCTATCTCAGAGAATGCGGGGGCTGCTGGGTTTTGAGAGATGCAGTCTTCCTAGCGTCTCAAACCATGGAGGGAAGATAAGCATCCCTCCCCCGTGTGCTAAGAAGACATCCCAGTAGGCCCGGAGATGAACAGGCTGCCAGTGCCAGGCAGACCAGGAGAACGGGGCAAGAGGTCGGACCTAGTCATGAACCCAGATGGTGCTGTATGCCGGACAGCATGACCAGGGGAGCTGGCGAGGGTGGCAGGACCTCAAAGAGGTGAGTGACCCAGCAACATGCAGCAGGTGGGCATGAGGATTCATGGTGGGCCAGGAGCAAGCGGCCTGAGAGAAGGTGCACTTTAGGGAGTGGAGCAGTGTCCAGGAGGGTGCTCCCAGAGGAGGCAGCACAGCCACCACCCCAAGGCAGCAGCAGCCCGGGCAGGGACAGAGAACTTTTCTTAGAGACCAGCAGATCCTCATGCCACAATAACGGACCCCTAGACAATGCAGGGAGCCCCCACACTGAGACATCGGGAGCAGCCCAACATGCAGGGAGGGGATGGCAGCCTGGGATGTGGGTAAAGAAGATACATCAGGCTCTCCCTCTGCACCTGGTAGTGAGATCAACGCAGTAAACAGGTATGAAGTTGAAAGCGGGGAGGAAATTGTGTTCACCTAAGTTTCATTAGAAAGGGGAAGCTGTCTTTTCCAGGAAGAATATTTTGGTAAGTGCTTAAGCCTGAAGCTGGGATTCCAGTGGAGGCCTGCCTGTGGGGGTGCAACAGCTGTGCTTGAGACATGAAGGAATTTTAGAATTGTTCATGTTACACCAGAGAGAGGTGGGGAAGGAGGGAAGAAAGGAGGCTGCTGTTGAACGTGAATCCCATTCCCCACTGTCCCTCTATATTTTCAGAAAGTTACTGATGTCATGAGTGTGTGGGCTCAAGTGGGGTGCGCACCCCTGATATTTATGTGCACATATCTCCATGTGTGGGAAACAAAGGGGCTGGCCTGAGACTCAGAAGCTGGGCAGAGCCCAGGCAGGGCAGGGATGGGGAGAAGAGGCACAGAAGCAGCTCGGAGAAGAGAGACCCCACGATGGGGAGGCCCTTGGGCAAATTTAACCAAATCTCCATGGGGCCAGGCCCAGCTGACTTCTAGGTGACTGTGTTCTCCCACAGCGTTGTTTTGGTTCTTCTCCATTATTTGCTGTATCTACATCAACAACACACATGCACATCCCCCTTGGAAACCTTCCAGGAATTGGAAACCAGGTTTCTGCACTGGGTGGACTGGAATTCTGGGACTCTCAGGCCCATTTCAGACTGCAGACATGGCCAGGGATAAAAATCTCTAACAGAGAAGAGGCACAGAGTTAGAGATTTTTGATGCTTTGATGCTTCTTTGCCTCCCTGTCTCACCGAAGTCTCCAGTTGGTGGATGGGGGCAGCACCAGCATCTTCCAGCTCTCGGCTCTGGTTAGGGCTAGACCAGTGGTATCAGGACCCTCTCCCTATTGGGGATGTGTAACTAGGGCAGGGCCAGGGCCACAAAAGGCAGATGGGATTGGTCATGTAGAGAGGGTCCTTAAAAGAGCCTGGAGCCATCAGTAGTGACATCTTCAAGCCTAGAGAGGCAAAGGAGAGCTAAGCCTTTAACCAGAAAAGCCTCTTGTTGGCCCCCAGAGTCCCACCTCTGTCCCCTCAGCTCTTCTTTCCAGGGATCATTCTTGAAGGCAATTAGGAAAAGAAAGTGACAGGCCCAGGCCCGAGGGTCAGGTTTCTTATGCATTCCAGGGGCTCCCTCATCTCTCCATCCCTACACCTGGCTCCCCTGAGAACCACCCCCAGGGCTAGGGTGAGATGGACGTCTTCAGAATTCATGTGCAGCCCAGACAGCCAGGGTGCAGGAGAAGCCCCTCTGGTGGTCTCTGAGACACTAAGGAAACCCTTCACCAGAACTGAAGTGGTGTTGGCATGGAGACCCTGCTGGCAGCCACTGAACAGAGAAGCCGGGTTAGCCTCTCTCTGTCTAGTGTGGGATAGTAAATGAGGGCATTGTTAATGCCTGGAGAGAGATTTCCTGGGGAGCTGGACAGGGCCGTGTGCCCACCAGCCCCTGCCCTTGCTGGGCAGCCTCCTAGAATCCACATTCACCCTCAGTCTCACACCTTACTGGGCCTTCAGGAAGTTCAGGCTTTTGTGGTAGGAGGACTACACATCCGGTGCCAACAGTCGGGGAATATCTGGGTGTCCCCACGGCTGGTCCCAGGGAAGGCTGGCAGGGGTCTTTTTTTCTATTGGGTGACTGGAGGAGGCCACCTCAGTCTTCCAGACGGCCTCCATCTGCTTCCCCTGTTGGCTGAGAGTGGGGCATTTGGAGAACTTGTAAAGCAGCAGTTAGAGATTGAGACGCAAGAGGCTCTCCACAGCCACCAGGCCCAAGACTCTGGGCCTCATCTCCTTCCTTTCTCAAATGGAATGTGTCACTGCCCTCCTTGTCTCCCCTCCAATACTGAGTCTGATTCTCACTTCCCTGGGGCTCCTCTGGCTAAGGAGCTGCTGGAAGAGGCTCCCAGGGTGGCCCCTGTCCTTCAAGGAACAAGCCCGGGGGCAGAATCCCTCATCTAGCATGCAAAGGTGGGTGTGGACCAGGGTCTTTTTAGCTGCCCAGAGGTTCACTGTCTCCAGAGCTTGGAGGTCACATGGTGGGAGAATCAGGCTTGTTTATAGGACAGACCAATGGCAGATGCCAAATCGATGCGCAGGGTAGAAAGGTTGTAAGTTTTCAGTTGTGGATCCCCAAAGGCTTTCCATTGCATAGTTTGAAACGCACTAGGTCAGACTAGTGCCTAAAGCCCACACACTGTGACACACACCCCACCTCTGGGTCAGTGGCCAGCACTGGGGAGGGCAGCTGAGAAGACAGGTACTTTGCAACTCATTGGGTGATCTTGGCCTGTTGGTGCCCTCACTTCACTGCCTGCCTTCCCAGGCTGGTCGCCCCTGCTCCCTGCCTCTTCGTACAGCTCCTGCCCCCTTAGCTTCCCAGCACCTACCGGGCCATCTGCAGGGGCACACATTCCCAGTGCTTGGACTGAAAGGGCTGCTTGTAGGTGGGGCCACTGGGGCAGATGTGCCGGGGTGAGGCTGCAGGCAACTTGCATTTCTTCGGCTTTGGCGAGGTAACCTCAGGGATGTTCAGGTGAATGTTCCACTCCAGCTGGAGCTAGAGGAACCAGCAGAGAGGCATCAGGGAAACAGAAAGTTATCTCCTCTGTAGGTTGGGAGGAGGCTTTACCTGTCTCTTGGTGCCCCTGCTGGACTCAGGGCTGAGTGAAGAGGGTAAGACCCAGGAATCCCTTCAATTAGAAACCCTGGGACCACAGTGTATCAGACCTTTGCTAGAAACTCCTTGAATTCTTTTTTCTGGGTTAGTTGCTGTTTTCTCCTTTGTTGTGAGGAAGCTGGAGAATGGGCAAAACAGCAAGGAAGAAAATGAAAAGAAACCAGAGCAGTGGAACTCCAGAGCAGCTGCAGGCAGAGTTCATGGCAGGGGGCCAGGTTGTGCCTGGACTGCACTGGGTATCCTTTCATCCAGCCCCATACCTGGCACTGGGCGAGGAGCTGGGGGAATCTTCACAGCCGCTCAGAATTGTCATGTAGTCCCTTTCATTCTCAACCCCAGAACAAACTTAGCAAGTCAAGACACCTCCAGGAGATTATCCAGACTAGTATAAGGTGATATGAAACCTTCATGGCCAAGGCTCTTCCAGCTGCCTGATGTCAGCTCTCACACCGAATGCCTCAGCATGCTGCCTCCCCTAGACTCAGGCCACCGCCGCTGAGGACTCGGGGGTGGCAGTACCTCCAGACCCATCCCTAGGGCCAGTCCCAGCAGGCTCTGACCACAGCTGTGGGATCCTCCAATCCTTCCAAGCTGTTGACTATCCCCCTAGGAACCACGTCAGCACTTGCTGCTTTTTGCAGCCTGAGCCTCAGGTCTAGAACTGAGGGCTGCTCATCCCAAAAGCAGTGTTGCGAATGAAGGAGTCTGGCAGGGAAAGGCTTCATACTCATTGGTGGTGCAGAGAGCTGTTCCTGCCATATGAAAGATGGATATGGATATAAACTCAAGCCTTGTATATGGGGACAAAATTAATAGTCCCAAAGGGTGTGAATTCTAATTTGCTGGGTTAGTTCCTGTTTTTGGTATGTTTTAGATAATTTGGAAACAGGCAAAACAGCAGTGAAAAAAATTAAATGAAGACAGATGTTAAATTTATACCTATATCTATATATCTATAATAAAGAGTTAAAACAGAAGAATTATAGGAGTCTTTTATTCTATTATTCCCAGGTTTCAGCTATTATCTCTTTGGCCTTTTTTTTTTTTTAAATTCTATACTATTTTGCATTCATCTTAAATGTCAGAAGTTTCAAGGATTCTAATATTAATGTAAGTTTTTCTTTTTTTTGGTAATGTAGCATATAGACAATTATTGGTATACACATGGATCCATTATCCCTCAGTAGTCTACATCCCATAGATTAGTAATCATTTATCTAGACAAAAGGAAGTTTGGGTGTCAGAGACAGTGTTTTGGAGTTTAAAGAAGTTTTCTGGATATGAGAGAATTGGAGAGGAGAGAAAAAATCTCATTATTGTGAATTATAAATTGGACTTATAATTCACTTTAGTGAATATGAGTGACCCAATTAAAAATTGGGGTTACTTTTTTATTGTTTTTGGTGGTGATTGAGTATTATACCTCTGAATGGGATACAATGGCAAAACCAGATCACATAACATCTTGGGATTTATTTGGGTTGTACTTGTATGAATGTTAAAACCAGGTCTATACATTTTGGATCGTTGCTTTACTGAATTCTGCCAAGGTAAAGTGGGGTGAGGGGGTTAAAGAGTAAGGTTTCTCCTGGTACTAGTTTTCAGAGGGAAAACGTGAGGTCTCAGCAAGCACATGGAAAATATGAGGATAGGCTCTAAGTATAGAGATTAAGAGAGTGAGTGAGACCTTCTCATTCCATTGGCCTAAACCAATGGTTCCTAACCCACAGGGCATGGTCCCCTGAGGGGCAATGGATTTTTTGCCAAGGGCCCAAGAATGTAAGCACATACTCAAAATTGTACACTGAATAAATAAAAAGTAAAACTACTAGTATATAGGAATTCTTGGAACTTTTAACATTTAAAATGGATCTTAATATAGGATTTAAAAAAAAATTTTTTTTTTTGAGACAGAGTCTCACTCTGTCGACAGGCAGGAGTGCCGTGGTGCCATCTTGGCTCACTGTTGCCTCCTTCTCCCGGGTTCAAGTGATTCCCCTGCCTTAGCCTCCCAAGTAGCTGGGACTGCAGGCATGCACCACCACGCCCATCTAATTTTTGTATTTTTAGTAGAGATGGGGTTTCTCCATTTTGGTCAGGATGGTCTCGATCTCTTGATCTCATGATCTGCCCACCTCAGCCTCCCAAAGTGTTGGTATTACAGGCGGGAGCCACCGCGCCCGGCCAGGAATTTTTTTAAGACATAAACTAGTGATAATGTAATAAGAAGGACTAGTTTACCATTCTGTAAACAACTAGTAGGCCAAACAGATTAGATTTAAAAAAATGATGTTTATCCATTCAGACAACAGGCAGTGCAGGTCAATCATCCCCAAAAGGAATGAAACAAATCAGACAATGTCCAGGCCCCAGCACAGGGCAGGAAACCCAAACATAGGACAACAGCCTTGCGGAGATGAGGAGACAGCGTTCCAGGATCAGGGAAGCCAAGGTGACTAGAATTTGAAAAGCAGCGTACCAGAGAGGAGGAAGCCACATGACAAGGAATGTCCAAAGCTCTGCTGAGCGTTCAGTGTCTGTGCAGGCCTGGGAGGAAACCACCAAGGCTGGGGGAAGAATCACTGGGCAAGACCTGGCAGAACGATCCTCAGAGCTCACATATCCCTGGGAAGAGTTTGTGTTCACATCTGTAAAATACCGAAAGAAAAAACTGCCTGCCTAGAATTCTGCATCCGGCAAAAACATCTTTCAAAACTGAAAGCTGAATAAACCTTTTCAGACACCAAAGCTGAGAGGATTCATCACCAAGAGACAAGCACTGTGAGAAATGCTAAAGGAATCCTTCAGGCAGAAGGAAAATGATACCCAAAATACATTTGGATCTACACAAAAGAGTAAGGAGCACTGGAAATGATAAGTGTGGGGGTAAATCGATTATTCTTTTCCCTTTAAGGGAAAAGTAATAACAATGTACAGCTGTCCATTGCTATCCATAGGGTACTGGCTCCAGGACTCCTCACAGGCACCAAAATCTGTGGATGCTCGCATCCTTATATAAAATGGCGCATGGTTTGCATATCACCCATGCACATCCTCCTGTATATATTAAATTATCTCTAGATTACTTATAATGCCTAATATATCATATAAATGCCATCTAAATAGTTGTTATATTGTTTAGGGAATAAGAAAAAAAGTCTGTTTGTGTTCAGTACAGACACAATCATCCATTTTTTGCTCCAGGTATTTTTGATCTGTGGTTGTTTGAACCCACAGATACAGAGGGCCAACGGTATTAGGGGGGTTATAAGCTACATAGAGGCAAAATGTATGACAACAGTAGAATAAAGACCAGGAGTGAAGAAATAGATGTATACTGTTGTAAGATTCTTACACATGAAATAATATTGTTTAAAGGTAGACTATGATGCTCTGGTTTCTCTTCATAACAAATAAATCTTTCACCTTTTACTAAAGATTTCCGTGGAAAGGAACAATTAGGAGTTTATAACTGAATTTTTTTTTTTTTTATAAAGACGGGGTTTCACCATCTTGGTCGGGCTGGTCTTGAACTCCTGACCTCAGGTGAGCCTCCCACCTTGGCCTCCAAAGTGCTTGGATTACAGGCGTGAACCACCGCGCCCAGCCAAACTGAATTTTTTGATGTCCTGCTTAGGCAGGGCTCATTATAAAAAAAAAAAAAAAAGAAAAGAAAAGAAAAGAAAGTAGACTATGATAAGTTAAAGATTTATATTATAAACCCTAGAGCAACCATTAAAAATAACAAAATAGACTGGGCATAGTAGCTCACACCTGTAATCCCAGCACCTTGGGAGGCTGAGGCGGGTGGATTACATGAGGCCAGGAGTTCTAGACCAGTGTTTTACATGGCAAAACGCTGTCTCTGCTAAAAATACAAAAAAATTAGCCAGGCATGGTAATGGGTGCCTGTAATCCCAGCTACTCAGGAGGCTGAGGCACGAGAATCACTTGAACCTGGGAGGTAGAGGTTGCAGTGAGCTGAGATCGCGCTACTGTACTCCAGCCTGGGAGAGAGAGAGAGAGAGACTCTGTCTCAAAAAATAAAAATAAAAAAACAACAAAACAAAGAGTCATGGCTAACATGTCAGGAGTGGAGATAAGACGAATTTACTTAAAAAACTCAATTACTCCACAAGAAGGCAGGAAAAGAGGGAACAAAAAGATAAGACAATAGAATTGAAGAGCAAACTATATATTTAAACCTGTGTTGATAATCACATCAAATATAAATAGCCTAAAACCACCCAATAAAAGGCAGAGAGTGACAGATCTCATTAAAAAAGCAAGACCCAATTACATCAATTAAAACCCCAATTTAAATAAAGAGACATGGTGCTTACTTCAGTAGCACATATACTAAAATTGGAATAATACAGACCAGACTACTAGCATGGCCTCTGTGCAAGGGTGACAAACAAATTCATGAAGTATTCCAATAAATAAATAATATATAGACACAGAGAGGTTAACAGTGAAAGAGTGGAAAAAGGTATACCATTGCAAATACTAAAAAATATTTTAAAAGCTGTAGTGACTATGTCAATATTGATGTACACTGAAGAGCAAGGAATATAATAGAAACAAAGAGCCAGGTACTGGTGGCTCACGCCTGTAATCCCAGCACTTTAGGAGGCCCAGGTGGGCGAATTGCCTGAGTTCAAGAATTGGAGACCAGCCTGGCCAACATGGCGAGAACCCGTCTCTACTAAAAATACAAAAATTAGCCAGGTGTGATGGTAGGCGCCTGTAATCCCAGCTACTCGGGAGGCTGAGGCACAAGAATCACTTGAACCTGGGAGGTGGAGTTTGCAATGAGCTGAGATGGTGCCACTGCACTCCAGCCTGGGTGACAGAGCGAGATCCCATCTCAAAAAAAAAAGAGGGCCATTTCATAAGGATAAAATCCAAATGTGGGGCCAGGTAAGGTGATTCATGCTGTAATCCCAACACTTTGGGAGGTCAAGGTGGTAGGGTTGTTTGAGGGCAAGACTTGGAGACCAGCTTGGGCAACATAGTGAGACCTCCTCTCTATAAAAATAAATAGTAAAGGTCAAATTTTCTTTTTTGAGACAGAGTCTTGCTCTGTCGCCAGGCTGGAGTGCAGTGGCACAATCTCGGCTCACTGCAACCTCTGCCTCCCGAGTTCAAGCAATTCTCCTGCCTCAGCCTCCTGAGTAGCTGGGACTACAGGCGTGTGCTACCATGCCCAGCTAATTTTTATATTTTTAGTAGAGACCGGGTTTCATCATGTCGGCCAAGATGGTCTCAGTCTCTTGACCTTGTGATCCACCCACCTCGGCCTCCCAAAGTGCTGGGATTACAGGCATGAGCCACCACGCCTGGCTGTAAAGGTCAAATTTTCCAGAGTATATAAACAATCGTAAATGTGTATGCACTTAATTGCAGAGCTTCAGAGTATTTGAATAATAAACCTATAAAACTGAAATAAATAGACATAACTGGAGAGATACAGCATGCTCATCATTGAAAGAATAAATATTATTAAGATGCCATTTCTCAGTGCTGGGTAGGTAGGAAATTGGTGGGTTGGGGTTTGTGGTGGGTACTTGGGCCCAAACTGGAAAGACACTTAGGGCTAACAGTGACATCTAGGACATTCAACCCCCAAAGCAGCAGCCAGTGATACATATCTGTGGAGAATGTAACACAGAAAATGAAATAAAATCCAGGGATCCAATCAGATGTAGAGAATGTGAATACAGAATAATATTCAAGAAAAGGACTGAAAGATTGGTGGGTTTTGATGCTCAGTGAAACCTGGGAATTCAGAGGAATGTGTACACTTACACTTGAATTTCCCTCTCAGTGTTTCTTGTTGTATGGCTTTTGGTTTTGTACACAGTAGTTCTCTTTAATCCTCCAGGGATACATTCTAAGACCCCCACTGTACCCCTGAAACCTCAGTGCCAAACCCTTTACATACTGTTTTTCCTATATATACGTAAGTATAATAAAGTTTAATTTCTAAAGCACAATAAGAGATTAATAACATTAACAAAATAGAACAATGTTAACAATATACTGTAATGAAAGTTATGTGAATGTGGTTGGTCTCTTGCTCTCAAAATATCTTACACAGTACTCACCTATTTTCAGATTGTAGTTGACTACAAGTAGATGAAACCACAGAAAGGGAAACACCAGATGAGGTGGGGGATTACTGTACTTAGGAATACAACTATATACACATAGATTTCATTTTATTTATTTATTTTTTTAGATGGAGTTTTGCTCTTGTTGCCCAGGCTGGAGTGCAATGGTGCGATCTTGGCTCACTGCAACTTTTGCCTTCCTGGTTCAAGCGATTCTCCTGCCTCAGCTTCCCAGGTAGCTGAGATTACAGGTGCCCGCCACCACACCTGGCTAATTTTGTATTTTTAGTAGAGATGGGGTTTCTCCATGTTGCTCAGGTTGATCTCAAACTTCCAACCTCAGGTGATCCAACCTATTTTATTTTCTTTTTAAGACCTATTTAAAAGGTCTTAAATAGGTCTTCAACCTGGGAGGTGGAACCTTTTTCCTATTTTCTTTTCTTTTCTTTTACAATACCTGTATTGTATGTAGGTATCTACTAATACTTTGTATGTAGCATTTTTTTGTTCTATTACATAACTTTTAGTTTTATTGTACATATAATCTGACACACAATAAAGGGTAAAATTACTTCCCCAAACCATACTTTTAATCAAAACCTAGAATCATCTGCAGTCCAGTTCTGATTAAATAAATTCCTTGGAAACCACACACACACAAAAATGCCATTTTTTCCAGATCGATCTTTAGTTTCAAAACAATGCCAATAAAAATTAAAACAGGCTTTTTTGTAAAGATTAACAAACTGATGCTAAAACTATATGGACCATAAGAAGGAATATAAAAAACATTTCTGACAAAAAGTTGAAACACTGACATCTGATTTCAAAATTTATTATAAAACTGAAGTTATGGCTAGGTATGGTGGCTCACACCTGTAATCCAAGCACTTTGGAGGCCAAAGAGGGTGGATCACCTGAGGTCGGGAGTTCAAGACCAGCCTGACCAACTTGGTGAAACCTCATCTTAAAAAGAAAAAAAAATAAAATAAAAAACTGAAGTTATTTAGACAGTATGGTATTGGCAAAAAAATAAACATACAGATCAAAAAAACAGAATAGAAATTCTAAAAGAACCACACATGGGGGGCCAATTGATTTTTGGCAAAAGTGCCAAGACAATTCATTGGGGAAAGAATAATCTTTTCAAAAAAGGATGCTGGAATGATTGGATACCCATATGCCAAAAAACGAAACATAAAACACCAACAACCTCAAATCTTACTTTATGCCATATGCAAAAATAGACTCAAAATCTATCAGAGACCTGAAAACATTAGAGGAAAACTGTAAAGCTGTTTAAAGAAAACATGAGAAAATCTTTGTGACCTTGGGTTAAGCAAATATTTTTTAAAATGGAACATAAAACACATGAACTATAGAAGAAAAACATTGGTAAATTGGGACTTTATTAAAACCTTTCTCTCTCCAAAAGACATTGTTAAGTAAATGAAAAGGAATGGCCGGGCACGGTAGCTCATGCCTATAATCTCAGCACTTTGGGAGGCCGAAGCGGGCAGATCACCTGAGGTTGGCAGTTTGAGACCAGTCTGGCTAACATGTTGAAACCCTGTCTCTACTAAAAAATACAAAAATTAGCCGGGTGTGGTAGCACTGCCTGTAATCCCAGCTACTTGGGAGGCTGTGGCACAAGAATCTGTTGAACCCAGGAGGCAGAGGTTGCAATGAGCCAAGATAGCACCGCTGCACTCCAGCCTGGGCAACAGAGCAAGACTCTGTCTCAATAATAATAATAATAATAAAGGAATGCTATGGACTGAAAGATAATATCCACGAAATACAGATCTGATATAGAATTTGGATCCAGAATATAGGATGAACTTTTAAACCCAATAATAACACTTTACCAAAGAAGATAAATGGACGACAAATAAGCACACGAAAAGATGCTCATGTTATTATTAGGAAAATTCACATTATATAAATTAAAGTCTTATTAGTATAAAATAGTTCTACAACTCAGTAGCATGAAAACATACAACCTGACTGTTTAATTATTTTGAGACAGTCTTACTCTGTTGCCCATCCTAGAGTGCAGTGGTGCAATCTCAGCTCACTGCAATCTCTGCCTCCTGGGTTCAAGCTATTCTTCTGCCTCAGCCTCCCCAGTAGCTGCGATTATAGACATGTGCCATCATATACAGCTAATTTTTGTATTTTTTTTTTCTGGGGTACATGTGCAGATCATGCAAGATTGTTGCATACGTACATTCATGGCAAGGTGGTTTGCTGCCTCCATTGCCCCATCACCTATACCTGACATTTCTCCCCACGTTATCCCTCCCCACCCTCCCTCCCACTAGCCCCCCAACAACAGACCCTGGTGTGTGATGCTCCCCTCTCTTTGTCCATGTGTTCTCATTGTTCAACACCCACCTATGAGTGAGAACATGCGGTGTTTGATTTTCTGTTCTTATGTCAGTTTGCTGAGAATGATGGTTTCCAGGTTCATCCTTGTTCCTACAAAGGATACAAACTCATCATTTTTTATGACTGTAGTATTCCATGGTGTATATGTGCAACATTTTCTTTGTCCAGTCTACAGTTGATGGACATTTGGGTTGGTTCCAGGTCTTTGCTATTGTAAACAGTAGAGACGGGATTTCACCCTGTTGGCCAGGCTGGTCTTGAACTCCCGACCTCAAGTGATCCCCCTGCCTTGGCCTCCTAAAGTGCTGGAATTGTGGGCACTAGCCACTGCACCTGGACACATATAGCCTGATTTTAAAATGGGCAGGTCCACCTTAAGCCTGGTGTGTGGTGAGAGGTCCTGGATGGGCCGGGGCACTGTGATCGCAGGAAGAGGCACGGGGTGCAGTCTTTAAAACATAACATAAAAATGGCTTCCAAAAGAGCTCTGGTTATCCTGGCTAAAAGAGCAGAGGAAATGGAGATGGTCATCCCTGTAGATGTCTTGAGGTAAACTGGGATTAAGGTCACTGTTGCAGGTCTGGCTGGAAAAGACCCAGTACAGTGTAGCCGTGATATCTTCATTTGTCCTGATGCCAGTTGTGAAGATGCAAAAAAAGAGGAACCATATGATGTAGTGGTTCTACCAGGAGGTAATCTGGGTGCACAGAATTTATCCGAGTCTGCTGCTGTGAAGGAGCAGGAAAACCAGAAGGCACTGATAGCTGCCATCTGTGCAGGTCCTGCTGCTCTGTTGGTTCATGAAGTAGGTTTTGGAAGTAGTTACAACACACCAACTTGCTAAGGACAAAATGATGAATGGAGGTCATGACACCTACTCTGAGAATCGTGTGGAAAAGGATGGCCTGATTCTTATAAGTCAGGGGCCTGGGACCAGCTTTGAGTTTGTGCTTGCAGTTGTTGAAGCCCTGAGTGGCAAGGAGGTGGCGGCTTAAGTGAAGGCTCCACTCGTTCTTAAAGACTACAGCAGCAAAATGTGACGAGTTGGGAATCCATTCTCACTGTTTGCTCTAAACAAAACAATGGTAGGTTAATGTGTTCAGAAGCCGCCGTCGTTACTGCTTTTGCAGAAGTAGAGTTGGGAAGTCACAACTAAACAGAGATTTATCAACCTAGAAATTGTGTCTCTACATTTCTAAGCCTTGATTGCAGAATAAACAGGGCATTTAGCAAACTAGAAATAAAAAACAAAAATGGGCAAAGCAGGAGTTCAAGACTACCCTGGGCAATATAGTGAGACTCTGTCTCAAAAAAAAAAAAAAAAAAGCAGGGGCAAAGGACCTCAATTGACAATTACCCAAAAAAAGACATAGGGCACTCTGGGCCATTCTGCCTGTGGGACAGTCCTGCTCTGTCAATGGAGCAGCCGTTCTGTTGCACACTGTTCCTCTAATAAACTTGCTTTCTTTAAAAAAAAAAAAAAAAAGACATAAAAATGGCCAATAAGCATATGAAAATGTGTTTAACATCATTAATCATCAGGGAAATGCAAACCAAAACCACAATGAGCTGCCCCTCACACCTGCTGGAAGGGCTGTCATCAAAAAGACAAGAGATAACAAGGTTATGGCAAAGGTATGAAGAAAAGGGAACCTTATACACTATTCATAGGAAGGTAGATTAGCACGGCCATTGCAGAAAATAGTATGGAGGCTCCTAAAAAAATTAAACATGAAATTACTATGACCCAGGGATTCTCTTCTGGGTATATACCCAAAGGAAGAGAATTGCCACCTTGAAAAGATATCTGCACTCCCATGTTCATTGCAGTATTACAGTAGCCAAGATACGGAAATAACCGAGGTGTCCATCATTGGACAAATGGATAAAGAAACTGGTATGTATAGTCATGTGCTGCATAACAGTGTTTCAGTGAATGATGGGCCACATATACGACCGTGGTCTCATAAGGTTATAATACCATATCTATACCTTTTCTATGTTTAGATACACAAATATTCACCATTGTGTTCTGACTCCCTACAGTATTCAGAAGAGTCACAGTCTATACAGGTTCATAGCCTAGCAGCAATAGCCTACACCATATAGCCTAGGTGTGTAGCAGGCTATCCCATCTAGGTTTGTGGAAGTATATCCTATGATGTACACACAACAAAAATTGCCTAACAACACATTTCCCAGAATACAGCCCCATCACTGTATCTATAATGAATATTATTCAGCCTTAAGAAAGGAGGAGATCCTGCCATTTGCCACAATATAGTTGGCCCTGGAGGACATTATGCTAAGTGAAATATGCCATGCATGGAAGGAAAAATCTTGCATGATCTCACTTATATGTGAAATCTAAAAAAAACCAAAAGGCCAGATTGAGGAGACATATAATAAAACAGTGGTTACCAGAATTGGGGTGGGGGTGGGAGGAAGTGGGGTGACATAGGCCAAACGATACAAAGCAGCTTTGTATAGCACTAAGAAACTGAAAGCTCTAATGTGTACGAGGATTATAGTTAATAGTGTATTGTATTCAGGATTTTTGCCAAATGAGTAGATTATTATGGCCCTTGCCAGAGGAAAGATAAAAATGGCAACTCTGTGAGATGACAGATATGTTAATTTGTTTCACTATGTAATCATTTTATTATATATCTATCTTATAATGTCATGTTATAAACCCTAAATATATACAATAAAATTTATTTTAAAAAAATAAATAATAAAAATTGTTTTGCCCTTATGGAGCCCTGAAAAAACTCTAGAGGATCCCCAGGGCTCAGCAAACCACACTTTGAGAACTGCTGATCTAATGTATAATTTGAGAAAACATTCCAAAACTAAAGGACATAAATTTCTACATTGAAAGGGCCGACAGGCCAGGCGCGGTGACTCACGTCTATAATCCCAGCATTTTGGGAGGCCAAGGTGGGTAGATCATGAGGTCAGGAGTTCAAGATCAGCCTGGCCAACATGGTGACACCCCATCTCTACTAAAAATACAAAAATTAGCTGGGCATGGTGGCAGGCGCCTGTAATCCCAGCTACTCTGGAGGCTGAGGCAGGAGAATCACTTGAAACTGGAAGGTGGAGGTTGCAGTGAGCTGAGATCATGCCATTGTACTCCAGCTTTGGTGAAAGAGTGAAACTCCATCTCAAAAAAAAAAAAGGGCCAATAAGGCCCTGTAAAGTAGATAAACATAGGCCCACATCAGGCTTAGCATTATGAAAGAAACTATGAAACATCGGAGACAGATCTTTTTTTTTTTTTTTTTGAGACGGAGTTTCGCTCTTGTTACCCAGGCTGGAGTGCAATGGCACAATCTCAGCTCACGGCAACCTCCGCCTCCTGGGTTCAGGCAATTCTCCTGCCTCAGCCTCCTGAGTAGCTGGGATTACAGGCACGCACCACCATGCCCAGCTAATTTTTTGTATTTTTAGTAGAGACGGGGTTTCACCATGTTGACCAGGATGGTCTCGATCTCTTCACCTCGTGATCCATCCACCTCAGCCTCCCAAAGTGCTGGGATTACAGGCGTGAGCCACCACGCCCGGCCCTGGAGACAGATCTTATCAGCTCCCAGAGGTAAAAATAGGCCAAACCCAAAGGATCAAGGACTCAGGATGACTTGGGGCACTCAACAGCAACATCAGAGCCCAAAAGGCAATAGGCAGGGCTTTCAAAATTGCGAGGGAAAGGGCCAGGCGCGGTGACTCACACCTGTAATCCCAGCACTTTGGGAGGCCAAGGCAGGTGGATCACTTGAGGTCAGGTGTTCAAGACCAGCGTGGCCAACATGGTGAAACTCCATCTCTACTAAAAATAAAAAATTAGCTGGGGGTGGTGGCACAAGCCTGCTATCCCAGCTACTCAGGAGGCTGAGGCAGGAGAATTGCTTGAACCTGGGAGGCAGGGGTTGCAGTGACCCAAGATCATGCAACTGTACTCCAGCCTGGGCAAAACAGTGAGACTCCATCTCAAAACAAGCAAATTTTGAGGGACTGTGAAGGAAAATGAATGCTAAGCTAGACTTTCACATCCAGGCAAACAACTAAGAGTGAGGATAGATATTAAGACATTTTCAGACAACCAGTGTCTCAAAGATTTAACCTTCCATGTAACCATTGTCAAAAAGTGAGTGGAGGAGGGACTCCACTAAAGGAAGTGAACCAAGGAAGAAGATACCTGGAATCTAGAAAACAAAGGAGCTGATTGAGGGAGAAGCAAAGCGAGTCTCTGCAAGACAGCGAGGGTGACGGCTATGCACCAAGCCTGGAGAAACACCAGAATGCCAGGAGCAGGGCACAGAGAACCACAGGGAGGGAGAATCACAGCCCAGAGCCAGGACTGCAGGATCCAGCTGCCCCACTCCTCCAGAAGAATCTTCTCTTCCACAGCTCTTTCTCAAGAGACATCTCTCTCTCTCTGGGTTGCTCTCCCCAGGAACAGATTGGAAAGCCACCCTCCCCCATGCTCAGGCTGGCGCCTGCCTTCACCTCTCCCTGGTGCAGAGGCTTTATTATTCTGCCCTCTCCTTTCCCTTCTGCCCCTGGTCCCACAGCCACAGCCACATCCCCACGGGCTCATTTAGGACCCCAAGCCGACTGGCTGTGCTGACCCTAGGAGGTGGGGTGGGGAGGGTGGGAGGCCCACCTTGGGAAACATGGCCACCATGCTGCTCAGGCACTCTCGGCGCTTCTCCTCCAGGACCCTCTGCTTGTCTGTCCAGGCCTGCAATCTGAGGACCTGCAGGTGGTTGATATTTTCCAAGAAGATGTGGAGGTTCTGGGCTTTGTAGGAAGCCCCCGTTTCTCTCATGATTTGCATGTGTTTGATCACTTCTTGCCTGGGAAGAGAAGAGAAGCGATTTAGGGGGTGGGGAGGCCTCCTCCATCCCCCAAGTCTGTTAACCAGAGGTGACTTTGTTTTCTTTAATTTCTTAGAGCAAAAAGAGAAATGGAGGCTGTTGAGAGCTGGTGAAAATGGGTCACAGAAAAATGGGAGGTGGTATCAGGTGAGGAGCCTCTGGGCTGGGATAAAACAGGAAAAGAAAAGAAAGGAAGACGGGAGCACATTATGTGGGTTATGGGCAGGGCCACAGGAAGAGGAAGAAAGAGGGAAGTGGCTTAGAGGAAAAGCCCACCACAGGGAGAGCATCGGTGAGTGCCCTTCCTCCTGCACCTTCAGGGGTTGCCCAAGGCCCCAAGCCAGACTTGCTTTCCTGCCCTGCCTCAGGAGACCTTGTCCAGGCCTGGGGTGGCTCTCCCCATCCCTCACTGCCCTGTGTTCCTTCTCTCCCACTGGGTTTAGGCTCTGCCCACATATTGCAGCGGGTGGGTGCCAGGTGGGTTCCAGTGAGGACCTACCGGAGGCTCTGGAGGCGTCTGTAGAAGATGTACTTATGGCACAGGCACTGCAGCCTGAGCGTGCCCAGCTCCATGGTGGTGGTGGTGAGCTCCAGCGCCTTGCTGCGCAGGTAGTGGGGCAGCCCCAACTCAGACTCCTCACTCAGGAGCTGCAGGTTCTTCCTTTGGGCCTCCATGTCCATGTGGTACACCTTCTTCTTAAGAGTTGCAGGGGATATCTGCAAAGAGGGCCGGGCTAGCCTTTGGATGGATGTCCCAGTGATAGGAAAGGAGGCAGATTTCTTGGGCTTCGTGGGAACTTGGCAGGCTCGTGGTCTGTGGGTAGACGCCACTGAACTCATAGGTCTCTGCTTTCCCAGGTCAGGCTGTGGGGTACTAGGAGATGTAGGCAAGTGTGGCCTCCAGCTTTGGTGAGCAGATTGGGCCCGGCTGGGGGCAGGCACTAACGATAGCTCTGCCTTCTCCAAGTCCCTCCATTGACTGGTGACTGTGAAGATCCTCCTCTCCACATCCTCCCCTCGCTGCTCCGGCTCTCTCCTTGGCCTCTCCTGCTCCTTTTCTAGCTGGACCCATTTTCGCTGCTGCTCCCTGGCCAGGTCTTCCAGCTTCCACTGCCTCAGCTTCTCCTGGTGCTCCTGCTCCAGCAGGGCCCACTTCTTCTGCCGCTGCTGCCACATCTCCTCCTCCTCCAGCCACAGCTGCCTCCGCTTCTCCCAGCTGAGTTCCTCCTCCCAGGGCTCCTCTTGGCTCTCCGAGGGCACCTGCCTGGAGCTCTCTAGAGACAGCTGCTCCTTAGAATGGAACTTAATTTGGAATCCTTCCTTCTCCTGGAAGTAGTCCTCCTGGTCTTCGTCTTTGTGGCCGGAGCTTTCTGCCGCCGGTCTTTCCCATTTCTTAGGAAACCTGTGATCCACTGAGGGTAGAAACACAGGCTCAAGGCTCTCGGTGTCCTGGCTGCTGAACACATCTGCGACCCTCGAGTGCACGGTCATGGTGGAAAGCAGCTGGAGCCCTGCAGCTGTCGCACCATTGTCCTGGGCCGTGGCCATGGTACCTGGGGGAAGTGGTGAGAACAACTGCTCCTTCTTTGTAGATTCCTGCTGGGTTTCCTCCGTGACTGTTTCTTTCCTTGGCAAGGTCTCTCTCTCAGGGGTACCCGGGGAGTCCACAGAAACCTCCACTAGGTCTTCTGCTTGACCTGTAGCAGTCTGAGCCTTCTTCAATTGGAACTCCAAGCCCTGCTTCTTCAGGAGAAGGTCATGGTACCTTCCCCCTAGGATCTCTACTTGCTTCAGCAGAGCATTGCTCCTGTTCTCAAGGGCTTGCACGAACTGCTGGAAGTGCAGCCTCTGGCTGCTGAGCTGTTTGGTCGCCTGCATTTGTAGGCACCTGTATTTGGTCTCCAGGCTCCTGTTCTCCTTGTGTTGGAGGATCAAGGCCTTGTTGAGGTTCTCCACCATAGCGGCCATGTACCTGATGGCCCTGACCTCCCCCTTGCTGAACATGGTCGAGTCCAGGAGCTCCTGCAGCATGGACGTCACCTCCAAGGCCTTTGTGTTCATGCTGTGCTGGTCCTGGAGCATCTGTTCTGGGCTCAGTGGCTGAGGATGGGGTGGAGATGTCTGTGGGTTTCTTCCCCGCCAGCCCTGCCAGAAGGTGCGTTCGGGCACTGGGAGAGGAAGAGAGAAAAAAGTCAATGACCTCTCATGGGTCCCAAGGATTACACTGATTCTCCAAATCCTGCATGACCAAAATGGCAACCCCCTTAGGGATTTGGCAAAGAGCATGGAGCTGGGGCCATATGTGGGGCCAGGGATGGTGCTGTCAGGACAGACCTCTGCTAGGTGCAGAGCTTGCCCAGAGCCCAGCCTTGGGGTCTACCAGCTCCACTGCACCTGCAGAGCCCAGAGGGTCCTGGTGTAGGCAATCCAGCGCAGCTCACTGCAGAGTCCTCCTGGTCTTCCTTGTTATCCTGGGGTAGAGTCATTTTTCTAATTATGCGACTTCCCAGCCTCAGTATCTGTGTTTGCCTCATATTGTCAGCTACCCAAACCCCTTACACCCATCCGGGAAGCCTGGTTTCCCTTTCCTGTTAGCACTGGACTGTGTTTGTGGAGAATTTATCACATGGTCCTCCAACTGTTCACATGTTTTATGTTTTTTTTTTAATAACTAATGTTTTTTTCCATTTTGGGGATCCCAAAGTCCTTTGATACTCTGAAGAAAGCAGCACACCCTCTCTCCCCAGGAAAATGCGCTACACACAGATTGTGCCCGCCACGTTCAAACCCGTAGCATATCTCCGTTTCCCAAAAGGCTGGGTCATGGTGGTCACTGTGCCCCCTCAGACCTACTATGTGTAGAGCTGGTGGAGTGATCATCTTGGAGCACCCATTCCTCTGCCTATTTAATAAACATCACTGCTAGAATAAACAGTGCTAACTTCAGATAAGGGGTAGAGGAAATATAAAAATTAAGGGATACTGAAGTCAGGCTAGCATCTAGCTAGTATTGTCAGAGAGGCCACATGGCCTAGTTGCCCAGAGCTTAGAGTCTGCAGTCAGATAACTTGGGTTTGAATCCCATCTTTTCCATTTGCCTTGGACAATTTTCCTAACTTCTCAGTGTCTTAGTTTCCCAATGTGAAAAATGAGGATAATCATAGAATCTATGTCATAGGACTTAGATTATGCATGTTTAGTGCCAAGTGCAGTAACAGGTACCTAGTAAGTGCTCAATAAATCATCCCTAAAAAGAAATAAATAAAGACACAATCTTTACCGTTCAGAAGTTTATAATCTAGCAAGGGACTAAGTATATAATAAGTGTATTTGAAGACATAGTACGGTACAGATTGCAGGAGAGATTGTTTCCTTTTCCATTTTCCCCTGCTTTCTCCCTCCTGCTGACCTTGATTGATAATGAGGCTGGCCATGATGGACAATGGTAAATGCTGATGGTTAACTATTGTCAAGCCCTGAGCATGTTCCAAGCATGGTGTCAGACACCTCACGCTGTGTAGAAGCCTCCCCACAAACCTGCAGCTACGCAGTACTCTCCTCTCTTTACATACGAGGAAACTGAGGCTCAGGGAGATAAAGTCCTTGCCCAAAGTGATACAAACAGAAATTAACAGAGATGCAATTCAAACTCTTGAGTGAGATTAAGAAGCCAGAAAACCTATGCGTGGGGTCACAGGCTTTCCTTGTGGTCCCTTCTCTGAGCTTCAATGTTCTCATCTACAAAATGCAAGAGTTCAATAATCTCAGGTTCTCTGAATGTTGACAGGAGTGAAAATCCAAGGTTCAACTGTTTGCTGATGGACCACCTCTGCAGCAGCCTCCAGTCGAGCCTCCCCAACCTTCTTGGCTCTGCCACTGGGTTTGAAGTGAGGAGAGGATGGTCCTCAGGCTCTAGCTGCTAACTCCAGCCCTCCAGGCCCCCCAGCTTTGTTCCTCAGAACCCACATGAGGCCAGAGCTCCAGTGAGCATGCCAGGGACCTGTCTCCACATCACATCGCCCTCAGCCCTGAAGGACGGCTCAGAGCTGCTCAGTGCTTAGCCTGGGCTCAACCCCAGCACTGACCACTGCCCATCCATCTCAAATCAGTCTTCTGTGATGAAGGAGGATCAGAAAGATCCCAGGCCCCGCCTGTGACTTCTTCCCCTGCCATGGCATCCACCCCATCCCCACCCAGCCCCCTGCCCAGGTGTTCCTAGAACCTACCTTGTGACCTTTTCTTTTGTCTTTCAATGAGAGTGGAGCAAAGAGCAGTGAGTGACTCAATGCCTCTTTTGGAGGCAATGAGGGAGAGCGGTAGCACTTTCTCCGTCACCTCAATCCATTCATCCAGGGCTGCTTCTTCCTCTTCATTCTTCCTGGGCCCAATCTCATAGGTCAGAGTGTCACCTGGAGAAGGGATGGAGGAGCAGGCTGAGAGCACTCTGTCCTCCAGGGGGACCCAGACAGCCCTAGAGCACAGAGGTTACAGCGGCTGTGAGGTCACACTGATTTTACCTCTTACTAGATATGTAATATTGGGGAAGTCACTTACTCCCCTGAGACTCAGTTTTCTTCCCTATAAAAGAATTGGGTGAAGATTAAGTGAGATAATACATGTGGAACAATTAACGTGAGGCCTGCCATGTAGAAATTCACAATGGGCATTTTATTTTTTTTGAGATGGAATCTTGCTCTCTAGCCCAGTGGAGTGCAGTGGCGTGATCTCAGCTCACTGAAACCTGCACCTCCCGGGTCCCAGTTCAAACAATTATCCTACTTCAGCCTCCCAAGTAGCTGGGATTACAGGCACGAGCCACCATGCTCAGCTATTTTTTGTATTTTTTAGTGGTGACGGGGTTTCACCATGTTGGCCAGTCTGGTCTTGAACTCCTGACCTTGTGATCTGCCCGCCTTGGCCTCCCAAAATGCTTGGATTACGGGCATGAGTCACCGCACCCGGCCCACAATGGACATTAAATAATACTGTTGTCTGTACAGCAGGGTGGTATCTGACTTGCTGTATGTCCATTACCTGGTAGAACATCTGGACAACTGAATTAATTAAGCAGGGTCAACAGCTCTCTCAATCTTGAGGGCAACTGAGGGACCACTGATCTGAGAGCTTCCAGGCATAGGGTAGCATCTTGGGGAGCAGGTCACCATCCTGATACCATCTTCTTCCAACACTGAAGCATCCAGCACACAGCACACAGGTCCTGTGATGGGATGACTCTAAGCTAAATGGGGCATAGCACCTGGCTTTAGGGATTAATGCAGCTAGCCCACACCCAAATGGCTCTACCAGTTGCTCACAGTTGGCATCAGGGCCCACGCAGTAAAGGTCATTCAGTGCTTTGAATGTCACCCAGGGGTGCTCTATAAAATAGCTAATGTGAGTTTGAATTTAGTTCCTATCCCACTTAAAAACAAGATGTCATAATGGACCTGTGACTTAGGCTTCATCATATATTCAGCTAATGTCATGATCTGTGATGTTTGGACACTTCTGTGTCTGCCTTTCAGGGGCGTGGAGGTGATGTGCTATGACATGAGTGGTGGAATGTGTTACTGGAGAAGGGGATGTGTCCTGTGCTGTCCTTGTGCTCCGCTCCCAGAGAAAGCACAGTGCCCAGCCTGCAAACTCACCCCAGTCACCCAGCCAGTGGAGAATGTCATACAGGTGCTTCTCCTTCATCTTAGCATCTTTGGAAAAGGAGGCAATTTTGTCCAGTAAGATGAATCTCTTCTTGGCCTTTGGATCTGTCTGGTGAGATTTTGCCTTTTCTTTTAAATCATATCCTAATTTTTCCTGGAAGCGGTTGATAACACAATTGACGTTGTCTGAAATGTGTGAGAGCCGAGTAGAAATATCCTATAGAGAAGCAGCAGATTGTAGTGTTAGGGCTGTGGACTCTGGAACCAGAAGCCACATGCTAGCAATGTGACTTTGGACAAGTCGCTTAGCCTCTTTGGGTCTCAGTTTTCTTATATTTAAAGTGGAAGTCATTATCATACCTATGTCACAGGGTTTTCTGTAAGGATTAAATGAAGTAGTATTTTAATGTGCTTTGACTAGTAGTACCTGGCACATCACACAAAAGAGTTAGCTCTTATTATCATTGTGATTATTAAGAAGGTCAAGAAAGAATAGAATACCAAAACCCCACAGCAAACATTTCCTTAGAATTTCAGAGGCTGCTGGGGGTTTCTGGATGTCTTTCCTCACCAGGATCCACAGGCAACAGAAGCTTGGAAGTGAGGCCCCAGGAAACCCTAGGATCAGAGGCTCAAGTGAAAAATGTAGCACAGGCTGCGTACAGGGTGGTTTGAGCCTTTGGCCATTTCCCCAACCGCCATGAACTTCCTGGGGTCAGCTTGGGGGATTCTGGAGGATTGCCAAAAACAGATTCTGGGTCCCTTCTCCTGCCCTCTAGGACCCATGATGTGCCTCAGGGCTATCCTTGAGCTTCCTGCCCCTTTCCCTGGGGGCTACTCCTTCCTGGCCCCAGCCCTGCCTCAGGCAGGTGGTTGCTTTCAGCTCACCCTGCAGAGGCCAAGTTGAGGAGAGAGATAATTTATACTAATCTGTCTGCAGACCTGGGTTGCTGATATCCTAGGACCCCCGGGGACCCAGAGCTGGAATCTCATTCAAACCTGGGATCAGTCCCTAGCCTCCATATCAGATCTCAATGTAAGCTTGATTCCTTCATTCAGGGGCTACCTCTTGAGCCCGAGTTAGCTGGGCAGCCTCAATCCTCAAGATGATGGCTTTCACTGATGTAGGAGTCACCAACTGTGGGGGGTCATCTTTCTCCATTTTGGATCACTCTGTTAGTCACAAGATATCCTGTGTCTCTGGTCCACAGGCCTGGACACATAATGTTGTCTGCTCTGAAGGTTAAGGGCACCAGGGTGTCTCCTGGGTACCCTCTGCCCAGGCACAGCTCCTCTGGTAACTGTCAAACACCAGGTTCCAACTGATCTTCTTTTCCCAGTGACATCATCAGTTTGATTAGAAGAATTAGATGCCCCACTACCTAGCTTTTTGTCCATTATCTAACATATTTATTTGACTTGTTGCTTTATAAAAATTACTAAATGTCGTGCTCCCAAACAAAACATTAATGTCTAAAAATAACAAAAAGCAATTAGCAAAAGTTATTTTCCCAAATAAAATATTTTGAATTTCTAAAAATTAGAGCCAATCAAGAACCAAATGGAGGCCAGGCTCAGTGGTTCATGCCTGTAATTCCAACAATTTGGGAGGATCACTTGAGCCCAAGAGTTTGAGACTAGCCTGGGCAACATGGTGAGACCCTATCTCTACAAATAGGCTGGGTGCGATAGCTCACACCTGTAATCCCAGCACTTTGGGAGGCCCAGGCAGGCGGATCACAAGGTCAGGAGTTTGAGACCAGCCTGGCCAATATGGTGAAACCCCGTCTCTACTAAAAATACAAAAATTAGCTGGGCGTGGTGGTGGGCACCTGTAGCTCTAGCTACTTGGGAGGCTGAAGCAGGAGAATTGCTTGAACCTGGGAGGCAGAGGTTGCAGTGAGCCAAGATCATGCCACTGTACTCCAGCCTGGGTGACAGAGTGAGACTGTCTCAAAAAAATATATATATATTTTTTTATAATAGCCAGGCATGGTGGAGCATGCCTGGGATCCCAGCTACTTGAGAGGTTGAGGTGGGGGGATCACTTGAGCCCAGGAGGTCAAGGCTACAGTGAGCCATGTTCATGCCACTACACCCCAGCCTAGGTGATAGAGACTCTCTCTCTCTCTCTCTCTCTCTCTCTCTCTCTCTCTCTCTCAGACATACACACATGCATGAGCACACACGCATGTGCACACCCACATACACAAGAGGGAGGGACATCCCGTAATAATAAAGATATCAATTAATAAAGGGGATATAATTTTAACTCTGTATATATCTAATAACATTGCTTCAAAATACGTGAAGCAAAAAGCTTCCAGAACTGAAAGGAGGAACAGATAAATCCAAAATTATAGTTGGAGATTCCAACATTTCTCTTGCAGGAGTTGACAGAAGTAACAAAAAATAATTAAGGTATAGAGGTTTTGAAAAACACTATCAACCAACTTGACTTCATTGACAGTCATGAAACACTTCACCTAACAACAGGATACATATTATTCCCTATGCATATGGAACAGTGATCATATAGACCATAATTTGGGCCATAAAACAAGTATCAATTAATCTAAGAAGGTTAAAATCATACAGAACATGTTCTCTGATCACTATGGTATTAAACTATAAATCAATAATTGAGAGATCTTTGGAAAATTCCCAAATATTTTACAGATTAAGCAATATACTTCCATATAACCATGAGTCAAAAAGGAAATCTCAGAGACAGTTGTGAAATACTTTGAACTGAGTAAAAATAAAAACATATCAAAATTTTGCAGATGCTGCCAAATCATTGCTTAGAGGAAAAAACTAGAAAAGGAAGAACAGAAAAACCCAAAATAAGCAGAAGGAAGGAAACAATAAGGATAAGAATAGAGCCCAATAGAATAGAAAACAAACAAAAATAGAAGAAAGTCAATTCAACTAAAATCTGATGTTTTGAAAAGATTAATATAATTGATAAAATTCTAGCCATATTTACTAGGAAGGAAAAAGACAAGCCACCAATGTGAAGAATAAGAGAAGGGATATCACTACAGACTCTACAGTGGGAATAGTGCCAGAGCATCATGAAAACCTTTATGCCAATAAAGTTGGTAAATTAGATGAAATGGGCAAATTCTTCAACATACACAACCTATCAATGCTCACTAAAGAAAAAAAAGCTCTGAATATCCATAAATCTGCTAAAGAAATTGGATTTGTAATAGAAAACCTTTCCCTTAAAGAAAACTCCAGCCCCAGATAGTTTAATTGGTGAGTTCTACCAAACATTTAAGGAAAACAAGATATGATTCTATAAAAACTCTTTCAAAAAAATTGAATAGTAAAGAACACCTCTCAGCTGGGCGCAGTGGCTCATGCCTATAATCGCAACACTTTGGGAGGCCAAGGTGGGTGGATCACGAGGTCAAGAGATTGAGACAATCCTGGCCAACATGGTGAAACCCTGTCTCTACTAAAAATACAAAAATTAGCCGGGTGTGGTGGCCGTACTTGTAATCTCAGCTACTCGGAAGGCTGAGGCAGGAGAATCACTTGAACCCAAAAGGCAGAGGTTGCAGTGAGCCAAGATTGCACCACTGCACTTCAGCCTGGTGACAGAGTGAGACTCTGTCTCAAAAAAAAAAAAAAAAAAACCTCTTCTCAAATAATTATTGAGGTTAGCATTATCTTTTTTCTTTCTGAGATGGAGTCTTACTCTGTTACCCAGGCCAGAGTGCAGTGGTGCGATCTTGGCTCACTGCAGTCTCTGCCTCCCGGGTTCAAGTGATTCTCTCAGCTCAGCCTCCTGAGCAGCTGGGAATACCAGCATATGCCACCACACAGGCTAATTTTTGTATTTTTAGTAGAGACGGGGTTTCATCATGTTTGTTAGGCTGGTCTCAAACTCCTGACCTCAGGTGATCCACCACCTTGGCCTTCCAAACTGCTGGAATTACAGGCGTGAGCCACCGCACCCAGGCAAGATTAGCATTATCTCGATACCAAAACCAGAAAAACATTACAAGGAAAAAAAAGTACTACAAACTGATATTGCTCACAAATATAGACATAAAAGAAAATGAATTGATTGAGAGGCTGAGACAAGAGGATTGCTTGATCCCAGGACCTGAAGTCTAGCCTGGGCAACTTAGCAAGACTTCATCTTTAAAAATTAGCCGGGCGAGGTAGCATGCACCTGTAGTCCCAGCTACTCAGGAGACTGAGGTATGAGAATCGCTTGTACCAGGAGGCAGAGGTTACAGTAAGTTGAGACTGCACCATTGTACTCCAGCCTGGGCAACAGAGCGAGACTCTGTCTCAATAAATAAATAAATAAATAAATAAAAACGAGGAGACAAGGTTTCACAACATTGCCTAGTCTGTTCTCAAACTCCTGGGCTCAAGCATTCCACCCGTCTCAGCCTTCTAAAGTGCCGGGATTACAGGTGTGAGCCACCACGCCCGGCCGCCATCAGCATTCTTAAAGAAAAGTAATTCCAACCAAGAATTTCATATCCTGTGAAACTAAACTTCATAATTGAAGAAGAAATAAAAGCTTTTCCAGACAAGTGTGTGCTGAGGGCATTTGTTACCATTAAACTAGCCTTACAAGAGATCCTTAAGGGAGATCTAAACATAGAAATACAAGAACAATACCTGCTATCACAAAAACACACTTAAGTGCATAGCTGACAGATTCCCTAAAGCAACTGCATAATAGAAACTGCAAAGCAACCAGCTAATAATTTCATGATGGGATCAAAGCCTCACATATCAATATTAACCTTGAATGTATATAGTCTAAATGCCCCACTTAAAAGGCACAGAGCTCAGTAGCTCATGCCTGTATTCCCAGCACTTTGGGAGGCTGAGGCAGGTGGATCACCTGAGATGGGGAGTTCCAGACCAGCCTGACCAACATGGAGAAACCCTGTCTCTACTAAAAATACAAAATTTTTTTGTGGTGTGGTGACGCATGCCTGTAATCCCAGTTACTTGGCGGGAGGCTGAGGCAGGACAATCATTTGAACCTGAGAGGCGGAAGTTGCAGTGAGCTGAGAGCCCACCATTGCACTCCAGCCTGGGCAACGAGAGCAGAACTCCATCTCAAAAAAAGAGGACAAGGAAGGACATTACATAATGGTAAAGCAAGCTTGTCCAACCTGTGGTGGCCAGTGGGCTGCATGCGACCCAGGACAGCTTTGAATGCAACCCAACACAAATTCATAAACTATCTTAAAACATTATGAGGCTCTTTTGTGATTTTTTTATAACCCCATCAGCTATTGTTAGTGTTAATGTATTATTTGTTTGAGCGAAGACAGTTCTTCTTCCAGTGTGGCCCAGGAAAGCCAAAAGATTGGACAGCCCTGTCAGATAAAGTGTTCAACTCAACAAGAAGAATTAACTATTCTAAATATACATGCACCAAACATTGGGGTACCTAGATTCATAAAATAAGTACTTCTAGACCTATAAAAAGACACAGACAACCACACAATAATATTGGGAGACTTTAACACCCCACTGACAGCATTAGACAGATCATCAAGGCAGAATACTAACAAAGAAATTCAGGACTTAAATTTGATGCTTGACCCATTGGACCTAATAGACATTTACAGAATACTCCACCCATCAACCTCAGAATATACATTCTCATCTGAACACAGAACACACACCAAGATCAACCACGTGCTTTGGCCACAAAGCAAGTCTCAATGAACTCAAAAAAACTGAAATCATACCAACCATACTCTCAGCCCTCAGTGGAATAAAAATAGAAATCAAACCAAGAAGATCCCTTAAAACCACACAATTACATAGAAATTAAACAACTTTGGGTAAGCAATAAAATGAAAGCAGAAATCAAAATATTCTTTGAAATAAATGAAAACACAGACACAATACACCAAAATCTCTGGGATACAGCAAAAGCAGTGTCAAGAGGAATGTTTATAGCACAAATGCCTTCCTCAAAAAGTTAGATCTCAAATTGTCTGGGCGCAGTGGCTCATGCCTGTAATCCCAGCACTCTGGGAGGCTGAGGTGGGTCACCTGAGGTCAGGAGTTTGAGACCAGCCTAGCCAACATGGAGAAACTCCATCTCTACTAAAAAACACAGAAAATTAGCCGGGCATGGCAGCGGGTGCCTGTAATCCCTGCTACTCGGGAGGCTGAGACAGAAGAATCACTTGAACCTGGGAGGCAGAGGTTGCAGTTAGCTGAGATTGAGCCATTGTACTCCAGCCTGGGCAACAGGAGTGAAACTCTATCTCAAAAAAACAAACCCCAGAACTACTATTCAACCTAGCAATCCCATTACTGGGTATATACCCAAAAGAAAATCAATTGCTCTACCAAAAAGGCACATGCACTCATGTCCATGACAGTGTCATTTGTAATAACAAAAACATGAAATCGGGACCGGACAGAATGGCTCCCGCAAAGAAGGGTGGCGAGAAGAAAAAGGGCCGTTCTGCCATCAACGAGGTGGTGACCCGAGAATACACCATCAACATTCACAAGCGCATCCATGGAGTGGGCTTCAAGAAGCGTGCCCCTCGGGCACTCAAAGAGATTCGGAAGTTTGCTATGAAGGAGATGGG